TTTTAACTTCTCTCGGCTATAACTAGAACTCAATACCTGCAGTTTCTGTCACTTGCGACCCACTGTTTCTCTTTAGATCCATTCTCAACAATGTTTTCCTGTTTTTAGTTTGGTAGCAAATTGCGTCTACAAGCTGCTAGAAAATCGATCCATGGCTAGCAGTGTCAATGTGCGTACTGCCATGACCAGTCTTCTGGCCAGTTTGATTCGTCGCTATGGCCATAGTATTGCCTGTTGTGTGAAACTGACACAACTGTTGCAGTGTTTCCCGCATATGGTCAATTGTTTGACCTCCTTCATTCGATCATTCATGGAGGAAGAGAATTTGACTGGCGTTGTACGCGAATTGCTTAAGGTAAGTTACGCTTTGTGCTGTGTGCCGTAAACACGATTGTGATTGCACACCAGGTATGACGTCATTCTAATTCTTTTACCCCGCCCCTGTTTGTGCGCTCATAGGAAATATGCAGTTACAGTGGAGCGGATTTGGAACGAGATGCACAAGCCACTCAGAATTTCTCAGCGTTCTTGCTTGACATCGCAGCAGCCTATCCTCAGCTTGGCCAGTCCATTTTACCACTATTACGACCTCGTCTTGATGAAGACCCTTACCAAATGCGTAATTGTGTCCTTGGTATAATTGGAGAAGTGCTCCCGATGTTTGCTCGTCGTGAACAGCTGGATCCCAAAGAATCGTTACAACGAGATCGACTAATGGATCTATTACAAGTGGGTTCTTAACTCATCGCTACTGTTCTTGCACCATCGTCTTCTATCCCCATCGTTTTGGGCTGTCTACTCATTTGAGTTTTTGTCTGACTCATTACAAATACATTTCCACAGAATCCGTTTGTTATTTTACTCTTAGGAGACAACACAAGCCTATGAATCTGCACGATCATATTGTACCTTATAGTCGGTTTCACATTTTCACTTTTATTCGGTGTCTGTAAATTGCCACTCAACAGCCCAGAAAGTTTATCTAACTTGTTTACTTTTCTGGTACCGGGAGATGAATACTATTCCCTACGGTGGTCAGCAGTTCACTCATTCCTTTCAGAACCGTATTCCGACGCGAACAGGCAATATGAAGTCTTTTCGTTGCCGTGGGTTTAGCGCTTTTCGCTAGATTCATTCTTGTGATTGAAACATTCTGTTTGTGTTGGTTTTCTTCAGCTAGCTCCAGGCTGGAAGCCAAAAAATCACGAACACAAAACCGTGCAAATTTGTGTTCCATTTCAACCGGTCTACATTTGACAGTTTTATGGTTTTCAATATTTACTTGAGTGTACAAGGGAGTTACAAAAGAAAAAGTATAACCCAAAATGCCATCCTGCCCACATTATCTGTTGTTCTCATATATTTTATTTCTCACGTTTATTTGATTAGTGAAACCTTCTTGCACGGTAAAACCTTTATTGAACTCCGAGCAAGAAAGATTTCGACATCTATGGTGTGTCTCACCTCCTCTCTTCACTGTTTCCATCCTCAGGAACACGTGCATGATGTGAATGGGTACGTGCGTGCTAAGGCCCTACAAATATGGTATGCTATCGTATCAACAAGGGTAAGTGCCCCGGAGATTCCTATTGGCTCCTCACTCTGCACCTCAGTCGTATCTCGCACATTACTTCTTGCTCACACTGTCCTAGCGTTTGGTCCGGTTCAGACCGTACATCTGTAATACACTTGCCTTTTTCCGGTGGTTCTTTATTGTCCATCGTTTCTTATCATTCGGTAAGTGTTTTAGCATCTGCGCCTCACATTGCTCACTGCTGTTCGTTTCGTCCTTTTTATCTCGACAGAGTGCTGATCGGCTTTTCGATTTGATAATATTAAACAGTGTGTATCCCTCACTGATAAGCATAAGCTGTCAATGTACGTTGATCAATCCAGCTGATACGTTCTCCTTGTTCCCCTGCCTCCTTCGTACTGCACAATTTTAATCACTTTCCTCTTCAGGGTTTGCCGGTTCGCCGCCAGTCGCAACTGACGGCGCTCCTAGTCGGACCCCAGGGAGCTATGATGGATGTGTCCAGTTTCGCTCGACGTTACGCTTGCAAAACTCTTACGGCAATGGTTTTGCAAAGTCCAGCTGCTAAGGTTAGTGATATAATCTAATCTGGTTTTTTGTCCTTGGTGTAGAATTCGCTTGTTTTCACATACCATTTGATCTATCCTTATTCTTCAGCTCACTCCCGAAGAGCTACAGCTTGTTCTTAACAAGGAATTAAAACGCTTGGAAAGTTTGGAGGAACTGTTGAGTGAGTTTACTGGAGGTTAATTTCTTCGTACTAAGAAGTCCATTTCATTGCTTGACCACCAAACGAGAAAAATAATCAACCGTTTAGAAAAACTCAACCATTCTTCATTTCACAGATGTCATTCATTGAGACTCCTCCGTCTTTTAATTGATTTGCATCTGTGTGATCTTCAGTCCCTAAGCTTTCTTAGTACCTTTATCTTTCTTTGACTCGTATTAGCTTTATCTCGTCGTCTTGCGATTCCTTCACGGGGTAAGTCAAGTCAACTATGGCATGCTAGAAGCTCTTAGCTCATTGCATGCAATTGCTTTTTGTGTTGTCTGGAATCAAGGAATATACACGCCTGGTGTTCCATCAAACTGCATCGAACTGATTGGAGTACTGTAAACCCCTTCTCTGTTACACGGCTAAACACCGCATTATTTCTACCGTTTGGCTCATCAGTCTCAGGCTTATCCTACTCGTTTCTAAAGAGCTGATCCTTCACTCAAACTCAAGGAGACAAATGCACATTTAGTTCTATCTGGTACCCCTCGTTATTGATTCGATCCTTTTGTGCCATGAATTAGAGTTTGAAGTACGCATCCATTTCCACCCAGCAATGCAGTGCATTTCAGCTGCTCATTCACTTTTTGTTAGTCTTCACCTGTTATAATCAAACACAAACGACCATTTTCTTCCCTTGATGTTGCGACCGCATCATGTCAGTAAGATTCTTTCCCACATGCACATGATCTATACCCGCAAATTATCAACCATAGATATCTCCGAATAACGCTTTTTGTTTATTCATTTATCAGCGCGTACTGATGTATTTTATATTTGACATCTGTTTATGGGTTTAATTATTTTTTTAGCAAATGTTTGTCCCTATGATGAAAACGAGGTTGATCTGGCCCACTCGAGTTCAGATCTCCAACCGAACCCCGATGGAAAACCTGAGCACAATAGACGAACGAAACCAACCAAACCTCAAAAGAAAAGAAAACGTAAACAAATGTCAAAAAAACGGGAGAAGAAAGCTTCACACTCAGATGACAATGAAGAAACCGATGATACAAAAAACGATGATGACGACGACGACAATGACGCTGCTTATCAAAGCAACGAGAGTGGTTATTCCGAATCCGAATCACAGAACGAAGAGGCTGATATAAAGGACGAGGCT